CTTTCTAGTTTTGCTTTACAGTGGAATCAGAGTATCAGCAGTGACTTTCATGTCTGTGAGTGTTGCCTACAGCCTTTTCTTTGTGTTTGTTTGACAACTTTCTGCTTAGTTTACCAGAATGTGATTGCCTACTGTATAAAACTAGATAAAAGTGTTTATGAACACATTTAGTTTTAGATATATGCATCAATGGTGTCTGTGTGGCAAGGTCTTCCTTTTCTAGGGATGTTTACTACTGTGATTGCGTGTGATTCACTGGAAACACATCCTGTCACTCCTTTGGGTGGGTTTGGGAAGGTTCTGCATGGGGTTGGTATGGATAGCTGATCTCATGGTGTGGCTTATGGACAGTCTAAGTACTCTGGAAGCAAGCACATAGCTGCTGAGCTTGTGTTGATACCGCTCAGTGTTTATTGCTGAAGATACGGATTTCTGAAGCTAAAGACTCTGGCAGGCCTGGGTCTCATAGGGAGTAATGGCAATGCATCTTGTGCTAAGCCCTGTGGCTGCCTTCAGGAAGGCAGGTGTGATGGGTGGGTTACCCTTTGCTCATCCATCAAGCCACTGCCATACCTCCTTCTCAGCAAAAGGGGGAGAGAAAATGCATAGGTTGAGATAAGGACAGGGATATCATTTGTCAATTATAGTCACAGGCAAAGCAGACTCAACTCAGGGAAAAATATTTTGATTTATTGCATATCAGTAACAGAGTGGAATAGTGATAAATAAAAACGAAACTAAAAAATAGCTTTTCTACCCCTGTGTTTTCTTATCCTCTTCCCTACTCCCCACTCTTCCATCTCCCCACAACTCTGAGCAGCACAGTGGTTGTAGTTAGCACTTCATGCTGCTCCTTTCTCATGCTGCTCTGATATGTGGTCCCTCGTGAGGGCTTCATGAATTGCTTCAGTGCTGGTCCACTCCATAGTGTACAGTCCACCAGGAATAGACAGCGTCAGTCTAGGTGTCCTGCAAGCCACAGTTGCTGTCAGGAGTCCGCTCCTGCACGGGCTCTCCATGGGTTGCAGCTTCCATCAGGCCAGATCTGCAGCAAGTGGAGTCCATCACAGGCTGTTCAAACACAGTCCTCCTCAGGCTGCACAGGGAGAGCCTGCTGGTCTTCTCCACAGGCCACAGGGACGCTTTTCTGGCGTGGAGCACCTCCTTCCCTGCTTTTTCTCTTTATGGCTGTTTCTCTCACAGCTTTCTCTGGCATCACAGCTACTGTGCAGTGGAATTTTTTGGGTTTTTTTTTTTTTTCCCTTAAATTTGTTATCACGGAAGCGTCATGAGGATTGCTGATTGCTCAGCTGCAGCCAGTGGGTGGTCTGTTTAGGTCTGGGTGGAACTGGCTGTGTCTAGAGACAGCCTCATGTCTCTTCTCACATGGAAGGCCACCCCTTCAGCTCCGTGCACTATCAAAATCTTGCCACGTAAACCAAATACACCGAGGCCTTTCTTGTACACTGAGGGCCACTTGTGCCAAATTTTCACGTTTCTAACCTGTCGTCTAGTTAGTAGTCCTGGTGCATCAGAACCTCCTGCAGCCACTCACAGACATCTGTGACAGAGACACTGACACATTCAGATGTAAGAATACCCAGCACCAGACCCTGGTGTCTCTGGAATAAGTGAGACTAGCATGTATGTGGATTAGAGAAACACAAGACCTATGAGGAAATCTTAAATTTCTTTAGAGAGGGCAGAATAGAGGTGAGGACAAGAGCAGTGGAGCAACATCATGAACTGGAGCAGCTAGAATTGAAGTGTCCACCCAACTATTCTGTTTTCTATTCCTGCCTATCTGTTGCATAACGAGAATCCAAATTCATTTACAAGTGTATAAACAAGTGCAGCCAGAGAGAAAATGGCACTGAGGTGTGTATCCAGATAGATAACTTGTGAATCGCAGAAAGGATCGAGATGCACTCTGACCAGGCACACGTGTGTTTAAAAATAAATAAAACACTTCTGCATATACTGATGTCTTGATTTCAGGACTTTCATTAATGTTTTACGCTCTTTTCCAAATACACTTGTCCTCTGCCATGCATTCAGAGATGCCTTCACTATTACCTTGCAGAATGTGCTTTACTAAATGTCTGTCTCAGCAGCATTGCCACATAAGCAGCCCCTCGTCTTCTAACTGTGCTATAACATGCAGCTGCATATGCCTGGCACCACAGTGGCATGATTTCTGTCCTTCTCCAAGACTAAAGATGTTCAATTACAGTGAGCCATTCCTCTCTGCACAGAGAGCAGATGTAGATGCTTCAGCTTCATGTGCACTCATGCTGCTCCCTGTAATATATGCCTGCCCAGCCAGGTGAGAGAAACACCTGACTGGTTCTACATGTCACATCCCATCTGGCAGCCCCCAAACTTCATGGCATTGCTGGGGGAGGCTGCTTCATTGTGACATAGGGTGCAATGCTTGAGATTTCGCTTCTGGCACTGTCAGATGATATGGCTGCTTCTCTCTTTACTGCTCTCTTATCACAAATTTTTATGCTGCTTTTCTTCTTATTTTCAAGCCAACTCCTTGTGTCAAAAGTCTTGTCTGTGATTCCTTAGTTACTGTTTAATCCAGCTGGTGATCATCTTACTCTTTAGCATTATCACTTTGGGGTTTCTCAGCACCTGGGACTTCTCAGTGCAGTTTAGTGAGTTTCATTCACATACGTATCTCAAATTACACCCCTTTCTAATCAGATATTATTATCCATGCCATTTCACAAAGAGATAAGTGTTTGCATCCTCACATCTCTCTGTTACTCTTGCAAGGTATCTGATCCTTAATGGCATATTCTCTAGTATTGACATGTTAATCCTCCCCCACAGTCTTCAAAGTGCATAATATTATGCACTAACATGAGTGGCACTAACAAGCCTTCAAGACTCACTTAATGCTGCTTCTTTACCTGTTGTAAGAGCAATTTTCTTGCAGACTGCATCTCTTTACTTGTCATGATGTGGTTGAGCACATGCTTCTCCATTGGAAAAGTTTCTTTACCCTATTGTAATTCTCTGATTGGAGTTACGTGTTTAATCATTTCCTTCAGACAGTGTACTCCCTCATTCCCCCTTTATCACACTGAAGGCAGAGTTTGATTCTCTGTATTGTTATTATTATCTATTTATTCATTTATTTATTTTTAAATACAGTTGTGAGCTGTCTGTCTTCTCTTTCTGGACAAAGTGTATCCTAGGAATGTGTGTTTGGTTCATTTCAGAAGAACTTCTGAGCAAACCCTGAAGATTATTGTTGGGAACATATCAGAGTATTTTGTTTAATCTCCTATGTCTGCTTCTCAGAGCATACTTCATTATCTTTGAACTGTCTGGTTTTTGTCCATCCTCTCAATTTTATGTCCCTAACAAACTGTGAAGGTTTCAATTTTTGTATGTCTCAGCATCAAATATCCTTGTGTGAGAGTACTGTCCTATAGCACCAGATAGCATGACAGAATTAACACCTCATTCATCCCCACATATTATTTTTGTCTTCAACTGCACGTCCAGCATGATAGAAGTGTCTGTAGTAAACAAAAAGCAGCTGCTCTGATTTCTGAGGAGATATCCAGGCCTGGCAGGGGTTGTCCTGCAAAATTCCGACTTCAACCTGGCTCCCACCAGGTTGTACATGGTGCCATTTGCAGTTCGGTGCTATGTGCTGGTCTCCATATTCCTGTCAGATCCTAGTCAAAGACAGAACCATATTGCTAGATACTTCCTGTCTGGAGTTTCTCTAGGAGGTCTTCTGAGTGGCAGAAAAGAGGTCAGAGTTCTAACAGCTGAATATGAGGGTGCTGCAGCACTTTTCACCCTGGCAACACAAACTACAGAAGATGTAAACCCCCTTCCCCTCTGTCGTGTCTCAATGGTACACAACTCAAAGCTAGAAAGACACAAGCAGGGTCTGAGTATGTGCCCAGGAAGGACTCATTGCCCTTACTTGGGATTGAGACTGTGGGGAGGAGGGAAAGGTCTCAACAACTTTCAACCCAAGCAGAAAAGTCTGTTGGTAAAATTTGGCAGAAAAATGCAGGACACCCCTTCTGTCCCTGGCCTTTTGAAATCCAACACAGACTACAGGCTGGCAAAATTTCCTAAGACTTGCATGATGTTCCCACGTCCAGACAGTGCTTTCAGTGAAAGAGAAGTAGGTAACTATGCAGAAGATGTAAAAGCAGTGAAAAAAACTGTTAAATGTCATTAATTGTATTCACAGCTTGCTTTTATCTGGCTGATGAATAGAGTGGAGTGGGAAGGCAGAGCAAGTGAGCTGGGGAAACCAGGATGTTTACAAAATTCCCAGCTGCAAAGCCATCAGCAGTGGGCCAGTGGAGAAGGGGGAACGAGGACAACTACCTGCCTTTCATGGAAGTGCTTACAGGAAAGGTTATACTGAGGAGGGCGTGAGACTGACCAGGGTTATGTTCCCCAGCTTCCGTGTCTGGGATAGGGCAGAGAATTGCAGGGAGATCATGCTACAGGTGTGCACTGCAAGTTACACAGGCAGTTGAGAGAAAGCAGCGGGGGACAAACTCATTTTTCTAGGCAGCAGCTCTAGAGGCACTCGAGTGCAAGCACTGGAAGCGCTGCAGACGTGCTCTCTCGAGTTAGGTACAATCAGTGGAGATGTGGAAAGCATCTCCCTGGCAGCAGTGCCCCCCCTCCATGCAGCACACACACAGCTGTGTGCGAGGATCGCTGGCATTTGCTGCTGATCAAGGAAAGGCTTAGAGTGCCTGGGACCCACAGTCCTGGGCTAAGTATCTAGCCCCTTTGTGTTTAGATTTACTGAGCCAGCATTGAGCTGATTTGGCTCCTGGGGACGGGAGAAGCACACAAGATAATGCACTTCTCTCTCCTGGTGGGAAGCTGGTTTGGTGCCTTATTACTATAATTGCCAAATCCATCAGTCACTGCAGACTCTCCCTTGGACTTCATCTTCTTTTACCCTCTGCTCTGGAAAGGATAGACAGCCAGTTTGGACAATGCTTACTGAAAAGTGCTTGGGATTTTTTTATTCTGGGCTGTATCTCTGGGCACCTTTGTTCCTGTCTTTCTTTAAAGGTAAGGTAAACCTGCATATGGTTGTCCATCTTTATTATTTTCCCCCTAAACACCAGTCACACCCACCCCAACAGGACTTACATATGCATGTAGTTTAAACTTCATCAGAATCCAGTATTGAAGTTGAGGGGAGTTTTGTAATCAGTTTGTCTAAGTCTGTGGATCTTACGCTACTGAGCACTTTCTCACAAAAAAGGAAGAAGTGTACTTTTTTAATGACATCTGAGCTGTTTTCACACTCAGAAATTAATTGAAATGATTGCATTTGGAGACAGAAGTGTTCTTTCTTTTTAAGTTTTTATCAATGATTTTATTTTATTTATTTATTTTTTGGTGGAGAATGAGAAACTGAGGCTTTACAGGATGGATATGGGAATTGTATAGGTGAGTTGCTAAAAGTGTGTTTTTCTACAAAGAAAATACTATCAGAAGAAAAAAATTGTTTATGTGCGTGATTTGGTAATACTTGCAGCTGCATAAGCTCGTGAATTTACTATTCATAATTTAATGTTTTTCTCGTTTTAGTTTGTTTCAGTAAGAATCTTTCCAGACCATGATGGGTGTAAGCTAGAAATATCTAATAAAAATGGGCTCCTGTAGGCTGAGGTGTCACCTGTGACCAACCTGTCTTCTGAAGTTTCAGCATGTTACAAGTGAAAGTAATACCTGTGTTCCAAAACATGAAGGATTGCAAATGATAAAGATTTTTGAAGTGAAAAGGGAAGCTGAAATCAGCTGAAAACAGAAAACAGTTTTTAAAGATGTTCAGGTTTCTGCACAAAATTTGCTTTTTTTATCTAATAGCTTTTTATATGAAGCATACATGCCTGTAAAACTGTGAATTTTAAAACTGAATACTGCAGTGTTGGACCATGTCATGTTATCTGTGGTTTCTGCATAGAGAAAGGAAGATTGTCTTTTTAAAGCAGAAAATGTAGTTCCCATGCTTGGGAAATGCAGAAGCACAGGATAATTATCTATATGTGATGTTGCACTGGATTGTAAGTGCCACACAGATGATTCCTCACTGGTTCATCTGAATCTGCAAAACAACTGTGAATCTCACTGTTACAGCTCTGCATTTCAGCTGCCTAATGCAGCAGTGGTATTTCAGAAAATGTCCCTCCACCCTGCTAAGTTAAGAGACTTGCTACCTTTGTAAGACGTTTCTGTGCTACTTCAGAGCTGAGCTGAAATCCAAATGATGGCTGCTGGTTATTGATTTAGCTCTGTTTGTATGCAGGCACTCAAAATATGTCCTTTCAAATAGTGAGTGATCACTAATTCACCAAGGAGGATGTTCAGTTTCTGTGAGTAGCACTTCAAGACTCAAACTGCTTTTATAAATAATTGAGAGGATTTTTTATTAGGTGCTTTTACCACAAGTTTACAAGTATGTACTCTTACAGATAACTGCTAATACAGCATTAAATGAACCTCTAATGAAGATGGGCCATGTTTACTCTGCACTATGGACATATCTATTTTCTTCAAGAAAAAGAAAGCCCACGGCAATTGGGCAGTTGAGGCAGAAGAAAAAAAATTGAGATGATCTTAATGTGGTATCAGTAGCAGAGCCTCTTAAGTAGTGAACTTCAGATGAACTCCCACAGGACTGCTCAATGCATGGAAGTTGCAGCAAGCCTGTCATAATTAAAATCACTCTCAGGTAGTGCTGTTGTTTCAACAGAATTCACAGTAGTAGTAATTTCTCACAACTGAAAGCTCCTGGGGAGCCGCTGACAGGCAAGTTGTAAAAATGATTAGGAAAAAAATGGCAAGCCACAGCACAACAAAAACAACAAAACTACAAGAACTCAGTCTTTTTTTTTTTTTTCTTCACGCCCCTCCCCCCCCGAGTTCTTTCCATGACTTTCTGCTTCAGCAGCTTCATCCTGCTGCTGGGAGCCCTTACAGATGTGCCCTTCTTGTTTGATCATTGCACCCCTTCTTGCCAAAGTGCCTGGAGGTAGCTGTGCTTTTCTGGGGGCTGTAAGACCTAATGAAGGTGCGCAAACTGGTCATCAGCTTCCTTGGATCCCAAATTACTTTTCTCGTAGTCAGATGTCCCTTCCAGGCCCAATGCACAGTCTGAAAGAACATCTGTAGGATCGGAGTGCTCTGTGAATCCAGCAGATACATAGCAATTTCAAGAGGAGCGTCTGGAAATCACTGCTTCAGGCAAGGATGGCAAGGAAGGGATGAGAACCACACCTGCTGCTTGCCTCATGCGTGGTGCACTCTGAGAGCCAGGGTACAGATGACTTGCAATGGATTTCTCCCAGGAAACATATTCCACTGGCCACAATGAGACTTAGCCTCCCCAGGGAGTGTTACCTTCAGCTCAGCATGCAGTCCTTTGCTGAGTTTGAACATCCAAGTTAAACACACACTTTGCTGAATATCGAGCTGAAAGTCTCCAGCTAACCCATGTATTCTAATTACTCTGATTACCATTTTATGTACATCCTTTTGTTGTCGTTTTAAAGTGAGGCTACTTAACTGCCACACACCCCGCACAGAGCAGAGTCAGACCCCTTAGTTCCTGTGCTCTATGCAGGCTGACATTAGAGCCTTAGTCTGGCCATGTGATTTTGAGAAGTCCAACCAAGGCAAAGGCAAGGTAAGGACAGAGGTCCTCCTGCAGTCCTGAGGGAATGGAAGGGCTAAGAAGTATGTGACACATCCTGTGGCAGGGAATGCTGCAAACAAGCTCAACAGCTAAAGGACAGAAATGATGAAATAATTCCACATGACTTGTTTTGCACCAGTTGAGTAAACCAGCTTCTCTTTGGCTCGCTTACCATGGAGTTGAATTCCTATGTTACAATCGTTTTGTGCTTGCTCACAGTTCTACAGACTTGGATTAGCTCTGATGATCACATCAGAACACAGCTGGTGATCTTTATAAGCAAATGCTCAGTAGGACACTGAGGTTTTGGTTCACTTCTGTGCAAGCAGGTGCTGTTTCTGCAGTAGCAAAAATCATTGGCAAGACAGTCCCAAAAGGACAGGTTCTGCTGCCAGGCTAGAGTTTCTTTACTGTGAGCTAGTTAGTGACAGGAGTTTAGAGATCTCTGTAGCAGGAAGAATCAAGGCTGGTATTTAAATGCTAATCTGTAAAGTCTAAACTTGGGGGGCCTTAGTTGCATAGGAATGATGGAACTGCAGTGAACTGTAAAGATCAGAATGGTTTAGTCCAAGGAGACTGTTAAGTAGATGCTAGAAGTTCTGTATCTTAACAGAATACCATGTATTTTCGTGGCAATTTGGGTGTTCAGTGGAATGGCTTCACCTTCATAAAAATTAGCAGATCAGAAGCAGATATTAACATCAGATAATCTGTAGCCTTTTGTGATCTTCATTTGAAGTTTAAATGTAATGTTTAGCCCATGTCTTTCAAGCTGATCCTCTCTGAGTTGTGTCACTCCACTGGTAGATACTTTATGCAAAAGATAACAATGTGATTGGCATTTAAAATAGGAATTATATGAGGAAGACCTTTGCTTGCAGATGTTGGTGTATTTTTCCATGTTGGTTTAAAAAGATTCCATGCATGACCTTGCAGAGTTGGGAAATTACTGCTAAATTCCTGCCATTGCTGTATTATCTGGAAGCAAAGATACTGGAATCTGGTGACTATAAATGCTGAGTGTGCAAGGAGATGACACATACACAGATTCAGACAGGACTTGTGCTTGTGGCACAACTCCATCCGTAGGCATTGCTCTTCTCTGTGATCAGAAATGTCAGAGAAGAGGTACAGATCAACACACAGTAGATAAGCACAGCTTAAGGCGAATCTGTGAGTTATGGTCTGCAACAGTTGCAGATCAGATGGTGCCTCTGGAGCTTTCATCCATGCTGCAACATAGGCGTACATCCAGTGGTTTCAGAACAGAAATTTGTACCCAACATTCAGGTTCTAAAGGTGACTCCAGTGTTTTGTTTGTTTGTTTGTTTCTCTGTACCTCTCCAAATAGAAGTACAGAAGAGGATGAGTTAGCAATGGCAATAAAATATTGGATGATTTTGTCAGGAACTTTACCAAGCCCAAAAAGAGAGAGGTACTTAATGTTTATATGGTGCAGTGGGTACAGTGAACAGCAGCATCCCTTCTCATACTGCGTGAAGATGACACTTCCCAGAGTCTAAGAAAGGAGTTACATTAGTCACAAGGCAGGAGATACAACACAATGGCTGTGATTTTCAAGGGAACAGAAGTACTGAAATGTCATTTGATTTCACTGTGTGATCTGAATGAAGGTTTAATGCAGTATTTCACCTATCTGTTGTAATTGATAGAGAAAATGTTCCTAGTTCTAGAGTGATTAAAGTAGATCAAAACCTTGGGTTCACTCCTGGTATGGTTATTCAAAGACAACTGCATAATATAATTAAGGAAGGAGTAAAGCTACCTTAGATTGGTAGGGCTAGCAGTGGTGATCAGCAGAACCCAAGGGAGTGACCGAGGTAGACAGGAGTTTATTGCAGATGTGGGACACACTTTGAGCAAATACAGCTCAAAGAAAGAGTGTTGTTTATCAGACACTTGTACTGTCATTCAGGACAAGAGCCACTCTGGTCCCTTCCTTTGACCAAAATCAAAACATCATGAAGTATAATGGCAGATGGGAGGTTTGTCAGCGAAAACAAGCTAGAGCTATAATTTGCAGTTTGGGTTGACAAGACTATACACTGTGTTCCCTGAAGTTCAACTGTGGCTGCATAGAAAGGAATCTCTGGATCATTTTGATTTTCACCACGCCAAGAGAAAATATTAGTTTGTAAATTGGAAAATATGTATTTGTAGCTGCTGGAGTAAGTCTCCTTACTAAAGATTTGGTCTCTGGAGACTACTCTGGAGTAGTAGAGTGATTGCATCAGTGGACAAAGGAAGAGAAACTGATGTTTACTTGGACTTCTGCAAGGCCTTTGACAAGGTTCCGTACCACATCCTTATTTCATAATAAGAATATAGAATCATAGAATCACTCAGG